TGCGCGCACCATGGCACAATTTCGGGTGCGCGGTGGAGCGCGAGCGCGATCGCGCCCCTTAAAAATGAAAGCCTGTATAGCCCTGCGGCAACTGTACGCGAGACTGTACTGGCGTATTTGGACGCTCACCCGAAACTCGACGCTCCTAAGTGCGCATGCGCGCAGGCGCCTCTTGTTTTGCAAGGGCGCACACAGCGCATGCGCAATATGCGCATTAGTCATCTGCGCATCTTGCCCTTCGACACGGTCGCAATAAACAAACATGGCGGACTTCCCTGTCACTGATGGAAACATTTGATTGAAACAATTTGCAATATGTAGTAAATTAGTAAGACTGTGTTATTGTGTGTCAGGTTACAAGGCGAAACAAAAGAAAACAAAAGAGCATGTCTACTATTTCCTACGGCCGTGCAAAACAAGATTCAAACAAAAAGAAAACAAAAGAGCATGTCTACTATTTCCTACGGCCGTGCAAAACAAGATTCAAACAAAAAGAAAACAAGAGCAAAACAAAAGAGCATGCCTACGGAGCGTCCAAATACGCCGGTACAGGCCTACTAGAGGCTAGAGCGGCGCAAATCCACTTTAGGCACATTAGGTAGGCACTGTGTGTCTGTGGCTGTAGGCCCAAGTGTAACAATGTGTAGTCCGAGCCGACGCAGACCCCAGTAATGGGCAAAAAATGGCCCAGTAATGGGATAAACCCGCACCCTCAGATTAGCAAAGCGGAGTTTACGTCTGCATTTGCGGACTAAACAATGTGGTACAAGTGGTACAAGTAGCGTTTACACACCCATGTCCTGAGTTTGGTTAGGGTTAGAGTTAGGGTTAGGGTTAGGGTTAGGGTTTTTAAACCTGGGGTTGTCAAATAGCCTAATAGTAATACTAGTAATAGGAATGGGCCCAATGTTGCTCATCTTCATAGACATAGACATTAGAAGAAAGCTCTGGTCACTGATCCACAGTAATATTTAGCAACAGGCGATCAAATAAATAACAGTGTCAGTATTGCATAAGAGTATAAAGATTATCGGTAATAGCAGGAAATTACCTATGCCCGCAACGTTCTTGACGATGTTGATGTTAACCATGGCTGCGGGCAGCTACGTACGAAAATGTGTAATCTTGTCCTGCACACGGTATGTTTGTACCGGAAGTATTCGAAATAACCAGATTTAATTAAATATATTCATCTTATCATTCTCTATGTAAATTGGGACATTTAGCATACTAAAATTGTATATAGCATACGTAGTGAGTAATTCAAAAGAACAATTAAAACGAGTTAAGATATGTACGTAATACGAATAGCGGAACTGTACCAGTGCTGCCACCAAGTGGTTGTAGATCTTTACAAGATTACAGTATCTACCGAGGAAATGGCGGATCCAAATCTGGAGAGATTTAAGCATCCTGACTTTAGTGTCAGGGTAGATGAGTTGAAGGTGAGTAATAATATAAGTAGTTGCAAATATCGCTAGCGTAACATCATCGTCGAGTGTCTCAAAAAAGTAAAGTTTTAAATATGAATAAATAATTAATGGTTTTGCTTCTCGAATGGAGGCGGTGGAAATTCTTCCGCCTACCTATTTGTTCGTCGTTACTGACGTCATTGTTGTGATTCGTGTACACTAAGTAAAAATAAATGAAAGTACCATCTTGGGATTGTTGTCAGTTACTACTAAGACATATTCACTTCGGATAAGAGGCATTAATTGCTTATCACAGACGTTTTATAGCCGCAAGTAACAGTTACTAACTAAGTTGGTCCCGAGCATTCGTAATACTAGAACTAGAAGATCCTATACTATACTAGGCTATAGCCCTGCGGCAACTGCATGCGGGCTATAGTTACTATTAGTACTACTAGAGCTAACTCTAACCATTGTTCCAGACATCACCCACTCAAAAAACCGTTGGTCAATGACCAAGTTCTATCCAATTTTCCGTAATCGCAGCACACCATAACTGTTACAGCAAGTAGTAATTATTGTAACGATCCACCGAAATTGAATCGAGTTCTGATTCTCTTCCCTCGATCCGATCCTCAATATTGTTTCCGATATTTTCGATTTGATCCAACCTGCTAGTACTTTAGGTTCAAGGATAGAGAACATGGGTCCCAATAAAACCAATGTCATTTACATCAATATAAATATAATATTATATCAATATAATAGGTTAGGGTTATGGTTAGGGTTAGGGTTAGAGTTAGGGTTAGGTTTAGGCACATTGGTTTTATTGGGACCCATGTTCTCTATCCTTGGGCCGTACTTTAGATTGTATGCTTTGGTCGAAGCATGTATGAGACGCGTGTTCTGATTGATCAATAGTCATGACTTGCCAGTCGGCCAATCAGCGGCCACAGCACATCGCTAACACATTTACAGGACTGGAGTTACCCGAGTTTGAGGACTCCGTGCGGATTTGTCATTTTATAAACCAACAGATCCGCTCAAAATCTGACAAATCCATACATAGAAAATATATACCAAGGCTCCACACTAACTTTTTTTTTCAGTGGCCCGATCAGGCCACCAAAATCATTGATTTTCAATTTTTGGCTGCCCGAAAATGAAATCTGGTGGCCCGAAAAAAAAAAATTTCATTCTTTGAGATTTGAATCCATAAAAAGGGGAATTTTTTTTGTCCAAAAATTACCCCCTTATGAAAATGGACTGTTCCAAAATATGTGACTGCACGTCGCATACACGAACTTTCGAACGCTGGCAGTTTCGCTTCGGATCCGAAACAGTGCACGCGCGCACATGGATATATATGCATTATTTTGTACAGCCTGCATGCATGCAGCTAGAGCTAGAGCTCCAGCGCAGCTAGCTAGCAATATACATTACATACAGTGCAGTACAGTGTAGTGCAAATTGCGACTGGCGTGGTGTCTGCTGATTTGTGTTCATTTGATCACGCTCGCTCTGCGAATTACTCGCTCTTTATTGAATGAGATTAGTAGGGGTGAGCAGGGCTCGAATTAAGCGACGAGAAGGGCAAGGCAATTTTTTTAGGGCATGTGAGAAATCGCCTTGAATTTTCTCTAAAATGGAAGGGCACAGAGACAATTTTAAAAGGCACCAAGGCAACTCTCAAAATTTGAGAAGGGCACAAAGGCACTTTTGTAAAATAAAGGAAAACTCATAA